GAAGTAATTCAGTCGTTGTGGAAATACGTGAGGGGTAAGCGTCAGCGTGTAGTTCCTGATTTGTACCCGCTCGGCCAACGTGTTTCCGGGAACATTATTATCTCCGATCATTGACAGACATTTGTTACGCCGTTTAGCGTCAGACGTAAAGTTGCGAGCAATGTAAATGAATCGTCGTTCTAATTTATGTAATTTCTAGCGCACGATAGAGTTTGCGGGGAATCGCCCTTCTTATCGGCGCCTTCGAGGATAAATTTGGCAGAAATATAATTTATGATTTACAATCTGAACGAACGATGTAATTTCGCAAGTGAAACACGGAATTTGACAGACGCGGGTTTAAGGAGATATGAGTACTTTCGTATATCGCTCGTATACAAGATTGAAGTCTATGTTTTAGTTCTTTGAGTCACTGTGTCAAAAAGGAAAAATCAAGTAGGCGGCCAAACATGACGAATATACGACTCGCGGTGATGCTTATTATTTGAGCAATTACATAACGTTACGCTCGTGTCGTTGCATTTAAATGGTAACTCAGTAATAATGCCTCGCGGAGGGCATATCGTAATTAATGTGCGGCTTAATGGAAATTAATGTCGCGTCGGATACGGGCGTAGTCCGATCTCGATGTATTTCGGTCCGATACGGCCAAGTTTCTCACATGGAAAAGTAAATGTTGAGGCAGTAAGAGTCTTGTCTCGTTGGAAAGCTTTCCTGGCGGTCCTCGCGTGACTTACTTCGAAGAGATCACGCTCGGCTTCAGACTTTACAGCAGATAAGCGCGAAGGCTAATGACACGGTTCCACTTCTGGTTTCTCGCTGGAAAGTGTTTCTTCCCTCGCGATTTTTCCGCTCGCCGGAAGCCCGACGCAAGAATTATTTGCATATTTACTCACACACATGACCGTTTTACCGTTACGTTTTGAAATCTTCTCCGACCAACTACTACATATGCCTGGCATCGATCGCGTGTGCAGTTATCACGGGCTTTCGCTGTTCATGTCAGACTAATGATATCTGCTTGTGGCAATCTTGCTACGTTTAGCCAATCCAGCACAGCCTTTCAGCCTTTCAGTCATTTATCTCGAATACGTCCCTTATGGCGTAATATGTAGCAGACAGCGCAAGATATCCTCAAGATGGTATCCTGAATATATCCGACATAACCTCGGCCATATATAGGATATCATAAAGTTCCAGGAAGTTCGAAGGAAATTCTAAAAGGAAGCCCCCTTGACCCGAACATCACTCGGATGTTTTCTGGATGTCTTGACATCTGCTTGGTATACAGAATATCCACGGGATATCCGCTTGTATTCCTTGTATTTCTTCGATCGCGCCCCAGCGCGATAATTCCGCTCGGGCGGAGAGTCGATAAATTCGGAAAGCACGGCGATAATTGATACGCAGCCGCGCACCGGCCGCTTCGTGAGATATTTTCAACGCCACTTAGGCATCGGTAAATCATGAGAAAGTGAATGCGCCCGGTTATCTCCTCTCGTTCATCAATGCGTTACGGCTTCCGCCGCGACGTTAATTATCTAATTCGCGAGAATTACGCTGGACCCCGATGAAATTTCCCTCCTAGGACGGGCGATCGCTCGGGCGTAACGCCGCAACGTGACGCTGTCGAACGAGCGCGCAGGAGCGTCCCGAAGACGGAGGGTCGAAGCGCCAAATTATCGAACGTGGAAGCGGCCACTCCGGCCGGTAAACTCCGCTGTAAAGCGCTGTAACTCGAACGCGCGCGCGTTTGCTCTCCTACTTATCCCGCGCGGTGAATGGAGTTGCTCTGCTCGTTACATCAATTACGGCATCCTCTTTGACTTTCGCAGACGGCCGCTCTCGAGGCCGTCTCTCGTCGTTGCGCGTTCGTAAATGCGTTTCGAAAGGAAACCACGCGAGAAAAACTTTGGTGAATAGTCTTCCGCGACGTACATCTATGTACCGGGTCGGCGGGCACTGTTCCTCCGTGGTATTCGCAGGATAGCCTTTCTTGTGCAGCCCGTATGCTCCGCCAACGTTTCTACAGGACGGTCCAGAAGTAACGCTCGGCTCTTATTCGTGTTTATATCTCTATTTCTCGCGATCGAGTCGCAAATAAGTGTGCCGCTTGTTTACCCTTGAATTAATTTTCCTACGAAATATCATCGTAAGTCTGATCTGATAATACATTTGCATATCCGTCATTATCAGCAGTGACTTGCGTTTACTGCGCCGGCAGGCGGTTTATCGGCACTGTCCGCGAGTGCAATTTATTGACTTGACTCGACGTTTCTACGACGTTTTTCGCCCCGGAAACTCGCGGCCAGATAAAAGCCGCGGAACAACGACCTGGCGCGAGCGAAAAGCGCGAATGCGTGATCACGTTACCGTAGGGAGGTGTCTCTTGCACATGCGAGACGGTTGCACGAACAACGCTCTAGCCGATAGCCTAATTTGAGCGCGAGGTGACCGCACGAGCCGGAGAGGGAGGCCGGTCCGCGCACACGCGAGATCCTCGCCATAAGGAACTCTACGCTCGTACGATCCTCTCTATCTCTGTTTACGATTTTTCTCCATTACGCTACGTGAAATCATAGACACGTACGTTATCTGCTGCAAACGTGAGCGCGTTATCGTTCCCGGTCACGTTACGAGGTAGCCAACGAATGCTCCAACAAAGTGGAATTGGAATATCTCGTAAAATACGGACCGTTACTAATGCTCAGGCCTCCTTACATTTACACGAAATACACTTCAAATAATTTAGACAAGGGGATACATTGTATAAATTGAGTAATCGCTTTTCTCAGCAGTAGAATGATATTTTTCTTTACGTGAAACGAGAGGTCGGGGTCAAACCCACGGAGGACCGCGGCACCAAACCCGAAAGCTAAACTTAACCCTTCTCCAGCATCAGCGGAGCTTGAAATATCGCAAAAAGGGTTGTCGATAAAAATTCCCAAGATCGGAGGCTGCGGCGCGTAACAGCCTCGAACGGTGGATCGCTCGGGGATTCCCGTAACGAACGATCCGGCATTGCGGATCTTTACGCGTCCGGGCGGCGCGTCTCTCTTCCGCGCGGAAGGGCGCGCGGGTCCGAGGGGAGGGAGGAGGCATTGTACTTTACGCGCGCTGATGAGAACGCGTGTTCAGGTGAGAAACGCCGGCGGCCGGGCGAGCGCGGAACGCCGGTCCGAGAGCGGCGCGGCCCGAGATCACGCGACGCCGATAACATTGTTTCCCTTCGTTCGGCATTTCATTCGCGCTGGCGAGCACAGCCTTATTACACACGGTGCATCGATGCACCGCATTAGCATAAGACCTCACAGAGCCGGCCGCGCTATCGATCCTGCGCGCTCTCCTCGCTCTCCTCGAGATCCTCCGGACGTCCTCCGGATCCTCCGCACACGCGAGGGAGAAAGAGGGAGAGTGGATGCGCCCCCGTTAAGCTTCTGGCCGCGTCCTGTGTCTGCGTTATCCCCTTAAGCTTCAGAGCCGTATTCCTCGGCGTGCTATCCGAGCGATAATCGCCACCAAATTTACCATCGGGATTTGCATAAACGCTTCACGTTACCGAGCGTCGAGTTCGAACTTTCGCAGGTATCCCGTCTCTCGCTTCAGAAATGCGTCATTAGCCCTCCCCCCCTCCCTTTAGGCCTCATAGTCTTCATATGCGTGTAAAAACAAGTTAATTTCAATCGTCTCAATTAGAGCATATATTTCATTGACTGATCGATCGCTTATTTATCTGTGCTGACGGACTCGAAATCGCATCACCGATTCTTCTTAGCGCTCGATCGAGACGATAAAATTGAAAGCTTTCTAAACGCTTTCTACGACATACGGATCACACTCGTCGAAGCGAGCCAAGTTGGCTGAGATATTTTTAGAATCGGACAGAGAGTTCGCAGGAAGGGGCTGCCAGGCCGGATCCTATAATCCGCCAACCTACACAACCTAGACCTCTGCCCCAGGGAGCACGCACTACCGCTCGCCTGCGGACAATCCTCGCAGCATAGCCCCACATGAGTCTCATAGTTATCGTTCGCCAGCGAGCAAACAAGGAAGTCAATGGTGTCCGCGTCCCTTGAGGCGCCCACTGTTACATCACCGCCGGGAGGACTCGTGACAGGAAATGCCCGGGGCCGAGCAGCCACCTTTATATTTTCATTGTTGATTTATTGCGAGAATAAAGCGAGGATTCATTGTTAACGCCTCGTATGTTCGTCTTACCTCTCCGTGCGAATCGCGACTGCGTCGGCCCCGATAAATTGCGCCCGGAATCACGATCCGATTCTATCGCGTATTATAATAAGAGAATATATACTAACGATATGATTATGCTTCGCCGAACGAGAATACCGAAAGAATCAGTTGACCTACTCTACTTGGTGATTTATATGATTTTGCAGAAAAAGATGAGAAAATCTGAGAAGAATTCTTGAGATGGAACGAAGAGATTTCTTTCGTCTTGATTTTCTCGAAGTCACTCGCAATTAGAAGCTCGCCAATGTCGAGAGAGAAAGAGAGAGAGAGAGAGAGAGAGAGGGAGACTAGATGTGAGAAGAAACGTTGGTTTTAACCGAAGCATGCCTCCTACACTGCACGTTTAGTCAGCGAATTATGGGACACTCGTTTCGAGAAAGACGGGACCATCTGTCATCACTTGTGCGCGCCTAGTCGGGTCGTGTAATACGCGATGATACGTGCTGAACTTAGCGCGAATTTGTGGAAAGTGCGCGGTGTGCCTCGCAAATGGTTCAGCGAAGTGCCTGCTACTTTAAACCACTAAGCATCGCCGTGAGTGATGGCGGTTAGGAGCGTAGCTTATGAATAGGATGTTCGCTCTGGCGGATGGAACTCGCCAGGCGCGACTGATTGCGCGCGAGGCTCCTCGTGGTCTCGTAATTTGTAATTTAACTCGTAATCTGCGGTTTTCTCGTCCGGCTGTGCGCGCGCGTTGTAATTGCTGTATCGACGGAGATCGCGATTAATTTGGTGCTTTCTCTTTGCAGGCAAGAACAACGATTTACTGCTTCTGGTGCTTGCTGTGCTTAATTTTACATCTACGGGGCGCCTACTCGAAAGTCGGTGAGTAATTCGGCGATCGGTCGCCGCGTTTTACCTCTAATAGCCCGATTTTCAGCAGTAATAATAAGGTCGAACTATAGCTAATGAGATTTAGCTGCTATTACTAAGTCATCTCTCCGTGTATACCAGCATTATACACGCGTGACACATTATGTATATAAAATACTCAATTTGACGATTTAATACATTTGATTTGTGCACAAATGCAAGTATGAACTGTACGAAGCTGCTGAAAAATACAGTTTGGATTATAGCGAGGGACTTTCGATTTAAGCGCAGCGGCGAACGTATTAATTGTATTTTATAAGTAGCTTTACGCGTGAAAGAGACGCAGTGGCATCATAATGCTGGTCCGCGGCGTTGAACGCGTTAAGAAGATCATCCCTTCGAGGTCGGCGTCGCGGAAACGGTTCTCTCGACGAAGGCAACGAAACGCTGCGCGGCCCGTGCGGTTTCCCACACGCGTAAATCTATCGCGGCTGATTGCCAATTACTTACGTCACGGCCGATGGGTAGTGTTTTATCGTTGTCGTCGGACATAAACGCGCGGATTAACGGCACGCGCGGAGGTGAGAGCCTCTCCCCCGGTGGCTTTTACTGCCGAAACACGAACCGTTGCGCATTGTACGCCGCCGCCGTATGATACGTGGCGCACGTTAGAAGCACGCTGTTACTCACGCTTCACCACCGCGTCTGATTTACCACCGTTACGTAATTCAATTTCAAGCGTACCCGCGCCCGACAATGCTCGACGAATTCTCGTTTCTTGCCCACGGGAAATGATCTTCCGTCGTTGTACCGGCGTAACGCGAGGAGAGGAGACTTCGTTAATTAACTTGTGTGCGTGCGTGTGTGGCTGGCCGGGTTGCAGCCTGGTGCAACATTGTTGAGCATTGAAGCGTGCGAAAGGTAAGAGACAGCGAGAGGGAGAGAGAGGCAGATAGATGAAGCGTTTGTTGACTTTCTGGAGTGAACGGTTTGATACGATAATAATATTATAATATTGCGTTATATCGCAATGAAGATATTAGTGAAAGAGGGAAAAATTAAAGTAGAAATATTTCATCTTATAAGATAGTAAGTTAGATTTGATTGGACTATCAATTTGTAGTCGGCCGGTCGCGCAGTCGAGAGAAGAGTCTGCTTCTAAGGCCGGTTATTCATAGTCAGATCCTATGTTTAAGTTCATCTTCAGATGCTGTACGGCTCATTTCATTGGCTAAGCACCTGAAGATGGACTTAAGACGGTCTTAAATATAAGATCCGACTATGAATAGCGTCTTAGAAGTAATTAAAGGATCAGTATTTGTAACTTCTGCTGGTGGTGAGTCCCGGAGATTTATCTGAGAGAGGAAGAATGAATAAGAACGGCTAGGTTAGTCAATTAATTGCGAAATTACGACATCTCGGCGAGCGTCTTCTATGCGAAACGCACGAGTATCTCCCGTTTGTGATTTTAAACGAAACGCGCGAGTTAACGGATTCCCATCCTTTCGGCCGCGCTTTTCACGCTGTTTCCGCTGGTGAAACGCGACGTACGGAACGATGGAACGCGTCTCGTATTTCCATCTATTATCTATACCGCGTCTCTCTCCCCCATAGATTCAGGCATCGACGTCTCCCGGAGATTCACTCCGCGAGGAATCGATAAGGCCGGGCGTAAGCCGTGGCGGACGCAACGAACGACCACGCGCGAGACAGGAAGGGGGTGTATTCGTGAACGAGAGAGAGAGAGAGAGAGAGAGAGAGAATGCGGCGTATAGATGGCTTGGCGAGTCGGATAAAACGTGTATTCCGACGCGATAATTCGCGCGCCTAGGCGGGAGATATAGGCGCGGTTCTCTCGCGGTGTTTTCAGGGTTTAAACGGAGAAACGTGATTCAACGCCGGCCGGGGACCGAGGGCTTTACGCGCGCGTTAGCGCGCGGTAAAAGGCGAAAAACCGCGCGATACTAAACGGCGCGGAACGATTATTACCAGCGAGCACTTTTCGCCGGGTAATCTCCGCCTCCGCGGTCCGCCGCGTCAATGATAGATTTCTTCTTTCCGCGAGCGCACTTCTTGCGAATACCTCTCGCGCGAAATCGCGAAACCGGTGCCGCCCTCCTCTTCCCCCCCCCCCCC